TGTGTTATGCCCACCAAGGGTGTATGTTTGATGAAGTAAAAAAAAAATGTGAACGAAATATTATTACAATTTAAAATGACTTCTTTCTCTTTAAATATGTAAAATGTAATTTATTTCTGTGATGGAAGAGCTGAATTGCTCCAGTCTTTAGTGTGACATGATTCAGAAATAATTCTAATATATTTCTTATTATAGTCATTTTTTTATGTTTTTTTAATCTTCATATTTTGTGGAAACCTTGATACACTATAATTCAAAAGTTTAAGTAAGATTAATAAAGAGAGAAGAAATGAATACTTTTAATCAGCAAGGATGCATTTATAATATTCAAAAAATGTCTATTTCAAATAAATGCTGTTCTTTTTAACTTTTTATTTAGCAAAGAATCCTGAAAAAAAGAAATGTATCACTGTTTTCAACACAGGAATAAATTGCGTTTAAAAAAAATAAAAATAAAACTTTTTTTAATTGTATTAATATTTTACAACATTGCTGTTTTACTGCATTTTTGATCAAATAAATGACTTTAGTGACCATAAAAGACTTCTTACAAAAACATAAAAAAATGTAATTATTCCAAACATTTGATAAGTAGTGTAACTGCTGATACTTAGTTTTAGTATTAAACTTGATGTTTGTGCTACAGATATGAATACCTCAAATCTTATGACGGATATGAAAATGTAAATTAGTTGTGGGAAATTGCCAAAGAGTTGCTCTGTGGTGGTTAAGATTTTTGCATAGCTCTTTGGCAATTGCCCACAACACACTAGTATCATAATAGTGACCAGTTTTGCACCTTATATACCTTATATATTTGTACAATATAATGAAAATGAAAATGCTGGAATCTAGTTGTATATGTACAAAATGTGTTATGTGTTTCAGAGCGTGTTCAGCTGAAGCGTACAGATTACCCGTTAGTAGTGAGAATACTTCAGGGACCATGTGAGCACGTCTGCAAGATCTTTCTCATGGAGCAGGATCTGGGAGAAGAGATTCCCTATGAAGTGAGTGTGTGTGTGTGTGAAGCAGGGTTGATCTGCTTAGACATTTAACATTATAAGCCTGGTAATGCTGAAACACACAAAGAAATTCACATAACTGACTGCAGTTGCTCTCCACTGCTCTAGGTGGCGCAGTACATCAAATTTGAGATGCCTGTCCTGCAGAGTTTTATTACCAAACTGAAGGAAGAGGAGGACAGGGAGGTGCAGAAGCTGAGAAGCAGGTATGATCCACCTTACATGAGCAGATGGGACAAACCCTGGACCACAAAACCAGTCATAAGTGCCCAATCTCGCCCAATCTCGAAATTGAGATTTATACGTCATCTGAAAGCTGAATAAATAAGCTTTCCATTGATGTATGGTTTGTTAGGATAGGACAATATTTGGCCGAGATACAGCTATTTAAAAATCTGGAATCTGAGGGTGCAAAAAAATCAAAATACTGAGAAAATCGCCTTTAAAGTTGTCCAAATAAAGTCCTTAGCAATGCATATTAATAATCAAAACTGAAGTTTTGATATATTTACGGTAGGAAATTTACAAAATATCTTCATGGAACATGATCTTTACTTAATATCCTAATGATTTTTGGCATAAAAGAAAAATCGATAATTTTGACCCATACAATGTATTTTTGGCTATCGCTAGAAATATACCCGTGATACTTATGACTGGTTTTGTGCTCCAGGGTCACATTTAGTTTCTGAGAGTTGCCGGTGTCCTGACATTTTATCCTACCCGCAAGTTTTGCGTCTGCTCTGTTCAGCGAGTGACTGAGAGGGGCAGCGCTTTCAGTTAAACCAGATATTAAGTTGCTTCTCTAATTTTACATGCAAGTATAGCCGAAATCACAGCACAGCTATTGTCTTTATCTTATGTGTATTTGAATTCATCAGTCGACGGCTCGGTTATAAATCAGGATTTTTATGCAGATTAACATCTTGGAAGGGAGAGCTGGTTATGAAGTCTTAATGGGTCGCGTTTCAGTCACTATTTCATATTAATTCGGTTGTCTGACAACAGAAACGGTAAAATATAACAATGAAAACAGTTTTATTGAGAATTTGGCTGCATCAAATTACAGTATGTGGGCACAGAGAGGCAAACAAATGTAATAATAAAAAAATAAATGTTCATTTTGCATGTTCAGAAGAAGTGAGCTGCCCTGTCCTGCAAATAGCGTAAACAGGCTTGTGTAAGTATTGCTCAGTGCAAAGAAAGAGAAGTAATAGGAATCTGGTATTTCTATGTTATTTTTATTCTTCATGCTCTATGTTGAGTATGGTTTCACTAGTAATAAACATACATTTGCATTAAAGAATCCATATTTGTCCATGCCCATGTTGATTAGAGTATGAAAAGTATTAATTTTATGTACATTTAGAACAGATAAAAATGTGCGATTTAAGCTGCGATTAATCACAAGTTAAATATTTTAATCGATTGACAGCCCTAATATATATATTTAGATTTAGATTATTTTGCCTTTTGTCAAAACCTCACTACCTCACTTCAATTTCAATGGCAATTGCTCAGTTTACACAGAAAATCTGATTAGAAGTGTGTGTTGCTCATGACTGCTGCCATGTCTTTTGAGCCTAAATGCCATGTGACTGCTGACTCACGCACCACAGGAAATGATGTCATGACAATGCTAATTGGCTGATGGCACCACAAGAAGACGCACAGTCACAAGCGACTATCCTAAGCTGTGACGTCAAAGAAAAATATCAGTTTCACTTTTAAGAGACCTCCAAGTCAAAATCATTTTCATGTGTTTTAATAATCCATGCATCTCTTTCTGAATAGATTCAAGTATCTGCGGTGTATCATTGAGAAGCAGCTCCAGTGTCTACCAGAAGGCTCCACCTGTATGTGACGAGCACATTCCCCTCTTCATATCAGTCAGTGGACTTCCAGACAAAATGTCATCAGTCGCGTCTGTCCTGAATGATTGTTAACCACTAATATGCATTGATATTTGCTGACCAGTGAAGATGGATGGTACATCTTGTTATATAAACATTCGTTGTATATTTTTCTCTGGTGCTGTAGGGAATCACATGCAGGTACAATAATATAAAAGCACATTCCACTAAACCAGGGAATTTCATCATCCAGTGATCACTGGAAAGAGCAAGCAAAAAAAGGAGCAATGACAAGCACAAAGTAACAAAGATAAATGCTTACAACTTTAGTATTATTTGTTTGGTTTAACCCATTAAAAAGGGGGACGACTGACTGATCACTTTACATGTTGGATGTATTGAGAATATATGCGGTCTGAGCCAACCTGTTGTACCATTACAGTCTGATTACAATTCCATTAGACCAAGGTCTCTTTTAGACCGTGATTAAATCTCTTTGTAACCGAATGGTGAGAAGCGAAGTACAAGACTGTGAACTTAAAGGATGATTGAAAACGGAGTGAAGCAGCACAAGGTAGTCGCTGAATATCTGAATGTTGTTTGAGTGAGCGAGTTAGTATGACTAGTATGCATGTTTGGGTACCTGAAGAGGTAGGACAGCATGGCTGTAGTTGAGAAAGAGCTTCATATTTTTCTTTTACGTTTAGACTGTCATTCACATCTATGACTGGCCTCTGTGTTGTCATACTGGCATGTGTTTATATGATACTGATTGTAAAACTGAGAATATGGTGATACTTGTATTTAAATAAATATCATCAGAAAATAAAAAAAACCTGTTTTATTTACACTTGTGTATCAGCATGTGTATCAGTATTAAGATAATATGTTAGATTATGGAGGATAATGACTTATTTGGCAGTGTGCATGTAACCATTAAAACGCATAACAAAAAGAGTATTATATCATTTTTTTTTACAATACACTACTGCTTGGGGTCAGTAAGATTGATATAGTTTTGAAAGAAATTACTTTTATTCAGCAAGGATGCATTACATGAATCAAAAGTGATGCATTTATAATGTTAAAAGATTTCTAATTCTAAGAAATGCTGTTTTGAACTTTCTATTCATCAAAGAATGCTATGATAATACCCACTACATAGTCTACACCACAGAGTGTGTAGACTATCAATTCTAGATCATAATAGACATAGAGATCTATGTATATGTACAGTATGAACTACATCCAGTGTGCCCTACACGTAATATGTACTACAAATCTAGTAAAATACAAACTTAGTATGCATTACATCTAGAGTGAACATTGAAATATATATAGCTAGATATAGACCTACGTTTATAACATAGTTGAGGTTATGTACACTATGTAGTATGCAGTTTAGCACGAGGACTCTAAAAGTGTATAAGATAACTAAAATGTTTTGCATTTGTATTCTCACAGTTTTGGAGACAGTGGAGCCCTTTCGCAGTTATATCTAGCAAATTTTTTTTTAATGTACCTTTTTAACACTATATTTTGTGTTTTATTACCTTAGCATTACATTTCAGAAAACTAGTTAACGCTGCTGTGTGGGTATTTCTAACAGCTGAGCGAGTGACGGCAAATTTGGAAAAATGTTTTCCTAATCTTTCTATAAGTTTTTCCTCTTTTGGAAACTCAAAAACTCTACTTTTTTTTTTTTTGATTGCATTCACATCACCACTTCAGAACCCAACTATATCGATTTCTGCTTCTAGGAATCCCGGAAACGTGAAAAGGGTCCATTGTTATTCTTTTACTGGCCGAGATTTTTTTTTTTTTTCAGCACGCACAGCCTACCAGCAAAGAAAATCACTGCGTGAATGTCAGAACTACCAGTCTTCCTCCACACGATGATTTGACTGCAGGTAGTCTCGTGGGTTATCTAACCAGCATCGCTGAGCTCATGGAGAGATGCAATCACCACATGACCGACCCCACAGAATGACCCCTGGGCCTAAAGACGTTTGTCAAATCCATAGGCCGTCTTAATCCTGTTGATGGATTAGAGCGAAATTCTGATCCTATGCCGGTGAGACGGGCCGACGTAGGTTCATTCGCTCAACCAATCAGAGAATGAGCAGCAGTCGCTTAATGCCGCTGTGTACGTGTACTTGTGCGAGTTCGGTCTCAAACTCTCATCCATTCAAGCTCAGCAGACCAGAGAGGAGGACAACACTTGGACAGTCATCCTGAACCTTCCAAAATACATTTCATCCACATACCAATTCAATGTAAGTCAATGCATACTCTTTTGGAGGAACGGAACTTTATTTTAATATTTTATAAGAATATGTAATATTATTTGTAGTTTATTAATATTATTATTATTTTATTAATATCTCCAAAGAAAAGTATATCTTCATACTGGAAAATTACATGCCAATGTGTGATATTCTGGTGTATAATGTTGTATTACTGTTTATTTCTATTTTCTAAGACTGTTGATGCAGAATTAATACTTGTATGTAATATGAAGATAATGGTTTAAAACATTTGCTTTTTACTCAAATTCCAGTGCTGTTTATATTATTTTAGGGTCACCTTAGAGTGATAGTGACCTTGTGGTAAAGTTTACCTTATAATTGAATGATTTGAAGAATGAGCATCGTCTTTGTGTTGCATTTGAGTGAATGGTGCAGGGGTGAGAATATTCTTGAGAGACAACCAGACACTGAAGTATACCAGATTACCTTTCTAAAGCTGCCAGACTGGCGGCCTAGATTCTGAAAAGATCATGTACTGCTCAATTCTAGATCATAATATACACATAGAGATCTATGTATGTTATACTCTCAAGTTCAATACAGAACTTCTTTTATTATATAAAATGTCCTTAATCAGTATTTTTTGTCTTGCCTTCCAAATAAATAAATAAAAAAATTATATATATATATATGTATATATATATATATATAAACACACACACTTTTATATATATTTTTTGAAAGAAACCTTTTTTTTGCTCACCAAGGCTGCATTTATTTAATCAAAAATGCATAACCTTAATATTGTGAAATATTATTATAAATTGTTTTAAAGCTGTAAACAATATACAACTGTTTTCTATTTAAATATATTTTAAAATGTAATTTATTCGTGTTATGCAAAGCTGAATTTTCAGTCTTCAGGTTCACATGATCCTTCAGAAATCATTATATAATATATTGATTTGGTGCTCAAAAAACATTTGAAGAAATTACATTTTAAAATATTTTAATATAGAAAACAGTAAACAATAAGGTTCTATTCGCTAACTATATTTAATTAATTAATTAACATTAACAATGAGAAATAAATTGTTACAATATTTATTAGTCTTTGTTAACATAAAAATACAACTGTTCATTGTTAGTCCATGTTAGCACAGGTCTATTAAATAACGTTAATAGTCACAACTTTTGATTTTAATAATATATTAGTAAATGTCGGAATCAACATTAACTAAGATTAATAAATGCTTTAGAAGTATTTATCATTATTAGTTTATGTTAACTAATGTATTTAACTAATATTAACAAATGGAACCTTATTGTAGTGTTACCAAGTTCTGGTAAATTGTAATCATGTTTCACAATGTTCCTGTTTTTACTCTGCTCACAAAGACTGCATTTATTTGATGAAAAGTAGAGACTTTCAGAAACATTTATAAATTCCTAAATATTCAAAATGTTATAGATAGACAGACAGACAGACAGATAGATAGATAGATAGATAGATAGATAGATAGATAGGCTTTCTCTATATCCTTCCTCCTGACGTCATGTCCACTAATCAGACAGATCTCATTGGGACCGACGAGTCAAAGACTGATTGTTTTTTTTTTTTTAACTGTTTAGCTCTTTGCTTTCACAGTTTGCATACCAGACATGGATTCAGTCAACCTCTGACCTTGTGTTTTCACAGCATCTTCCGGCATGTTCTCCCATAAATATAAAATCTTGTCGTTGATGAACTGCCTGTTACTCCTGGCGGTGATGTTTCCTGCGGTCCAGTCGTGTCGGGGCGGGGGCTTTGGGCGCGGAGGAGGCCGAGGTGGAGGATGGGGCGGCAGCAGCTCTGGTCGCACGGGCTGGGGAGGAGGCGGTGGACATTACCGTGCCCCACCAGCCCACACCGGAGGCTCCTCGGGACACAGCACTGGGAAGGTAGCAGGGGCGGCCGCCGCCGGAGCTCTAGGGGGAATGCTGGTCGGACATGGCTTGAGCTCCTTGGCCCGACCTGGATATGGGTATGGGCACGGGTATGGAGGCTATGGAGGATACGGAGGCTACGGTGCAGGATATGGGCATGGCCATGGGTACGGCCACGGTCACGGACACGGGCATGGTGGTGAGCATTCAGGAGATCATGTTCACAATGAGACAGATGTGGATTATTACACAGATGCTGCCAGTTCTGGACCCGTTTATAGCTGTGTGACAGTTTTTGGACTCATGATGTCATTCTTACTTGGGTACTTTCTGTCATAAGGGCCACTTATGGGTCACTTGGCATGGGTCAATCTTGGGCACCTTCTTGCATCTGTCACTTCTTTCAATACAAAAATAATCTAACAAAATAAAAATATGGAACATGGACTAAATGCAATTAAACAGCACTCTGTGCATGATCTCCGCCCAAGTTCTGTGTTAAATTGACAGCAGAAAACAAGGTTGTATTTGCTTGATTGGCGACTGTTTCCAATGTTTTTTGTCTCTGAAGCGAGAGTTATGATGAGCACATGCCTGAGTCAGAAGCCTGTGCATTTATTGTTGATTTTTATAAATGAATAATGTAGTTTTTTTCATGATTTTGTTTATATGAATAATGGAATTTTGTATAATTTAAAATATATGATGTATAACAGGTATTTTATTATCTAAAGAGCTTTGCAGAGCATCAAGTATATATATTTTTTCTTGATACTTATGCAAACATGCATTGATTGTTCTCTACTGAGCCGTTTCAACCTTCTCAATGATTTAATCTGTTTGTTCCTGCCATTTACGTCAGCGAACATTCAAAATAAAACAAGGCTTATGGTAAAATCACATTAAACCATAATAAGCTTGACGCAGTGTGTCGAGTCGAGAGCAAATCTTGTTAAAGGGCTCGGGCGCTCTCTACCTCACTTCCCGAGCTCTTTAACAAGCAGCTGATTGTCTTAAACCAATAAGATTCCATTGCTTTCGCTTGTACACCTTCCTCGATTTGTTTATCAGTATGTATGTTTATTTTTGTACTGCTAATATAAAATAAATACACTTCATAAAATACTTGACGTTTTGTCATTTTTCATTCCATGCGAGTGATAATACGGGTAAATGTGGTTTGATTTAGTCAGGATTGGGAGAAATTGTGATGACTAGGTGAACTATTACTTTGGTCCTAAAATTAGACTGCATTTTCAGATGTGGACATGATATTCACATGCAAAATAACCCTAACAAAGAGCACTTAATAATCACAAAATTCTGTGTTTAGAAGCAAGCAGGAGTAATGTTCTTCCCCAATATATTATTGTAGCTCCATCTTTTTTCATCTTAAACAATGAATAACACATCTTTGAATGGATAGTTCACCCAAAAAAGAAAATTCTGCCATTAATTACTCACTTTATGTCATTTCAAACCCGTAAGACCTTCGTTCATCTTTTAAACACAAATTAATTTATTTTTGATGAAATCCGAGAGCTTTCTGACCCTCCATAGACCGCAATGCAACTGACACATTCAAGGCCCAGAAAGGAACATGAGGACATCATTAAAATAGTCCATGTGACAAAAGTGGGTTAACTGTAATATTAACGCAAAGAAAACCTTACTACCTTTCTGGGCCTTGAATGTGTCAGTTGCATTGCTGTCTATGCAGTGCCAGAAAGCTCTCAAATTTCATCAAAAATATCTTAATTTGTGTTCCGAAGATGAACGAAGGTCTTACGGGTTTGGAACGACATGCGGGTGAGTAATTAATGTCAGAATCGTCATTTTTGGGTGAACTATCCCTTTAACTTATTTTTTATATGTAGAATGTTATTAATAAAAGCATGTGAAACAAGATCATAAACTGAAGTGACCTCTTTGAGACCTTTGATTTCTGTAGGTGTTTAATAAGGAGCAGCAGGATTGTTCACATTAGCCTGTAGATATGTGAATGAAAGGGGAAGGAGAGTTGAAGGAGAGTGGAGATTCCAGTACTACTGCAGTGCTCATGAATAAATATGAGTAGATATGAATATGCATTAGAACATTAAATCAGCAAGCAATGACGAGATTTGGCAATATATGAGCGTGTGTTTGCACCTTGAGTCAAACGGAGCGGGACATCGATGATGAGAAGAACGGAAAGCGCGAAGATGATGCTGACAGTCAAATGGGAAAGAAAAACAAACATTTGGCATGCTCACAGTTCTCCTTCCCAACTGATGTGAGACAAAGAAGTTATTCAAATGACCATGAACAAAAGTCTTCTTACATCTTTTTTTTTTTTTTCATTTATACAGCGTTGCATAAAAAGCAGCAGGACATACAGAAGCTCTTGCTGCCATCCGTAGTCTCTCCATCTATCCTTTAAAACACATTCATATTCTCTCACACTCGCAAAAACAGTCTTTGCCTAAATCTTGTTCACTCGCCAGTGTATGTTGTTCAGCATTTAACAGGGTTGTGCTGTGCTATTGTGTTTGTTAGCTGTTTAAATCTGTATTGTGTTTGTGTTCTATATGTTTATTGACTAGGTTGTTGGTGATATGTCGATGATTTGAGCATCTGTATCCATGTTTGTGTGTGTTTTCACAGTCATAAAGATTTCCGCATATACTGCATTGGTCTTAATACGTCTATGTTTATATACTATCTGTTTTAGGATGTGTAAATGTGCGCATTTGTCAGTCTTAAACAGTTCTGTCTGCACCTGAGCGTTTGCGAACCACCTGCTCCCCATTGACCTGGTCCACGGCGAGGGTCTCCACTTCCGGGTGTTGCCGAGCCGCACCTCCACCTGCTGAGGGCGAGCGGTGGATCCGATGCGCCACTCCTATATGCGCGTTAGCACGGGGATGGGGTCCCTCGCACGCTGGACTTGGGGGCACTGGGATGTGGGCGGGGCTTGATGGTGCAGGAGGTGTGGTCGAAGAAGCGATGGGCGGGATTACAGAGGGGCGTTCCCGCAGCACCGGCTGAGACTCTACGGGGGCTGCGGGCTCTCTGGCTTGCAGGAATGGTGTGGGATCTGGCATGGCATCTACCGAATCCCTCAGTACCAACCTTCGGCCATCTGCGGCGCCCAACCGGTACAGCTCTGTGTATTCAGAGTGCAGTGGCTGCGAAAGACTTTTGCGCATGCGTCTGCGAGGGGTCTCGGGTTGCCGGACGTCTTTGTCGTTTCCCGAGGCCACAAGAGCGGGAGGAGGGGTGGGTTTGAAAGAGCCGATGGGGCTGACGGAGGGGCTAATACCCGTAGCTCCCCCGGCGAGAAGGCGTTTTTTGGTAGCGTGGAGCTGGGAGGTGAGGTAGGCAATGGTGCTGGCTCTCTGCTCCAGCTCTCCAGACAGGACAGCCAACTTATGGCTCTTCAACTTCAGCTCATCCAGGTACTTCTTCTCTCGCTCACGGATGGTGTTCTCCAACACCGAGATCATGGCGTTCTTCTGCTCCAGATCTCGCAGGAGCTCCGTGTTCTCCTGCTCTTTAGCCTTGAGCTGAGCCTCCAGCTCCTCACAGCGCTGGTGCAGCTCTCTGCAACGAGCCTCACCATCATCTGAGAGAAAACAAGATGTTAGGTACAAACATTTAAAAGGATGCTACACACAAATATACATTTTATTCCAGGGCTCTTCAATTCCAGTCCTGGAGGGCCAGTGTCCTGCTGAGTTTAGTCTCACGTAGCCAGACCTTCAGAGAGTCTGAGAACCTTGGCCGCTTTTAATGGCCAAGGACCGCCCAAGAGAATATATGACTGACAGATAAAGCAACCAATCACATTTCGTTTTGTGCCACGTCATGTTTAGGGGGGAGGAAGTGTTGCCACAATAACAGACTGGTGTGTAAAATGTATGTATTTCAGAGAGTCCATATTGCGTACTTCACATATTTCACATACTTTTAAACATCCAGCGTTTAGTTGATCCTGGATAAGCGCTCATTAGCTGTGTTTCCATTACCCTTCAAATTGCGCAAATTGAAATTGCGGATTGACACGTCAATTTCGCAAAACCTCATATATTACAAAGAAGTTGTTATGCTCACATGATGAGGTTTTTCAGGCAATTCTAAAAAGAAATATATATTGCAAAACTGCAATGGAATTTTTTTTTCATATTTATAACATGGCATACGTAAAAATCACATGGTCATTCTTTAATGTACTATAACCTCCAAGAAACACCTCAATCCATGGACGTGACGCCTGAGGCCGAGACTATGCTGAGTTTAGCTCTAACACAAACCAAACACATCCGAATGAGCTTATAAAGTGTTCAGAATTACTTGAAAGTTGCAGATGGGTGCGATAAATTGGGATTGTACTAACGTCTGCAGGACACTGGCCCTCCAGGACTGGAGTTGAAGAACCTTTCACTAGTATCGTCATTTGTCATCAGCATTTTAAGATTCTTCTCTAGTCAGTGCTATTTGTGTGCCACATGAGTTAATGCCTATGCAGTGTTTTTTAACTGATCACTTGTAAGTAATGATGATTATGCTTCCTTAGAGGACACAAGGCAGCTGTCTATCTAGGAAGAGAAGCGTTTCACTAGGTTTTGGAATAAAGCTATTAATAAGTACAATGTCTGAAATAATATGTTTACATAAAGACATTCTGCAAACTGACTAAAACATTAGCCTGCAGAGGGCAGCAGTGAACTGTGAATCACACATCAATAAACCAATTACCCCTGCAGAACTAATGGCTATGAAACATCAAACTCTTTCCTATACAGGAACACTCCACTCCTCCCTTAAGATCTGATGTTAAGCTTTTGACAAACATCATTTGTTGTATTATGGGAACAGCTCATTTAGCTTAGCTCAGCATAGATATTATTGATTTCTACATAAATTTAGCTGGATAAACGCATTGTAATTGCATGGATAATTCTGAACCATCTTACTGAAAATCACCTCATCATTAAAAAAAAATGTACATGGGTTATTGTCTGTCTTATAAATGTCTAAGATTGTTAAAGACATGCATTTAGCAGCCAAATAGGGTGGGGCTGAGACGGGCACCTCGGAGAGAGACTCCACACACATAAGGAGAGGGAGTGAAAGGCAGACACACAGAGACAGAGATCCTATCTCCCGTTACACTGCTAATGGATGTGAAGGTTGGGGGAATAGCAATGTCCCTCTTTATTGACCTTCAGCTTTGCAACAGCCTAAACAATTGCACGCAAGGGAAGATTTGCCTCTCTCTCTCTCTCTCTCTCTCTCTCACTTTCTTGCTTTCTCTCAGTTTAAATTTATCGTGCTTCACTTGCATGACAAAAGACAAAAAGTAAACATTTGTAACTGCCAAAGCAATAAAATAAAAAATAAAAATAAAGAAAGAACAGTAAAGTAGC